TTCGCACTCTGTTTTATATACGGCTCGCTTGAATTCCAGACAAATCTTTCATTTTGTATTTGTATGTGTCTGCTGGTCATTGGGCCAGAGATGAGTCTGCCAAGCTTTTGAGAGGCTTTCAGTTAATAACACTAAATGTACGCAGTTATTTAGTCAGTTATTTAGTCATCTCTATGTCAATACATCAATGTGACATCATCAAGTAAATTAAAGAAACATCAAAGTAAATTCTGTTGAATCTCAAAAGTACACAAGGCCGCATGGTTGATTAGACAGTGTGACTGAAAGTAAAAATGAATAAATGAAATGAGAGCGATGAAAATAAAATATGCTTAAAGTTCGACAGAAAGAAAGAAATGTTAATAATAAATAAACAAAATTTCCAAACAGAAGAAAAAAAAGAAAAATTTGCCGTCAACTTGGTCGTGTGACATATCACATTACTATTGTTGTGAAGCAAGTGGTCGGTCGGTGTTTGGTCCAGTTAGAGCGGTTAACACAGACGAGGGGACAAAAAACTGAATTGGTTTCAGTCGTACGACATATCATCGACATCCATAGTTAAGACAATAACTATCGATATTAAAGTCAACGACGTTGTGCAATAGTCCCCCGATAAATATCTAACTATAACCACCTGTCGTCTAAGCACTCATTCATTGTACGTAATTTCATATGTAAGCTAGGCATTGTTATTGGTATGAGATTTTTGCTTCTGTCCTTGTTGTTGCTGCTGTTCTTATTGCTGTTGCATTAAAAGTGAAAGCAAAGCGTATACAATGGTCGCAGACATTACAACACAACTGAGGTAATGAATTTTGAATCAACCCTAACTATAGCAAACAAAGTTTCGTTTCATTATGACCATCACCATTGTCATCATCATCATCACCATCATCATCATCATCATTATCAACGTCATCATTACGATGGCCTACAACCTCAGTATGCCATCATCAATAATGATACCAACTTGAAAACCATTGAAGTGTCCATCACTCACACAAACGTAAGTAATTTGAAAACGGCAACGCTGATGTTAGGTATGCTTGACATGTCTCTTTCCCGATCTGTCCCACTGTCTCTCTATCTTTCCGTCTCTTTCTCCTTCTCCGCTAGTGGGTATTGTTTAAAGTTTTGCTTGGCAATTTGTTTAGAAGCTACCAAAATTGTAGCAAACATTGCTAATGTTTATATTACAACCATGCACATATACCGTGCGGCGCATGCATACACATATGCATGTTTGTGTTAAAGTCTATATTTGTTTATGCTGCAGACATTTTATCTGTTCACCGTCTGGATAGACATTGTCAATGATTGACATTTTATAGCAAATGACAGCCTAATCCCAACAGGCTAACAGCTAGCGTTGGATTGGGTTAGAATTATGTCCGTCCGCCTACCTGTTTGTCCGTCTAACTAACTTTTAACATTTTGTGCAAAGTGTTGACCATAACGTTGTACGTGACTTATTTGCTATGCAACATTTTGTAACTGTAACAGCAGTAATATATTTCATGCCAGCAAACATAAAATGTTGGTCTAGCCTACCAACAGTCATTTCACTAAAACGCTCATACCTAGAGGAGAAAGAGATACGAAGAGAAATGAAGAAAGGTAGGGATATGTGTTTATGGGAATATATATGTATATGTATATGTATATATACGTATATATATATATATATGAATACGTACGTGTTTGAAATGAATTTAACTCTAACGTGGAATATTGAAGTCATTAATATTTGAAAGGTATTAGATATGCAACATTAATGTTGATGTATCATCTAGCAAAAAAGAAAAACCAATTAAGATAGAAAGAGAGGCGAGTGGGAAAATTGTGATAAACAATGAAAATTGAAATTTAATTTTTTCTACTTTATGTAAATGCATGAAACATGATGGGATGCGATCGTGTTTCCCTTTTCTTTTTTTTTTCTCTCTTCTTTGTTATTTGAAATAAAAAAGAAAAAGTTCTGATACCTTTTCATCATCATCATTATCATCGTTATTATTTCATGGTAGAATAATTATCAAAATTTGTTTAATTAAAATTTTACGAGAAAACTTTTCTTCCTAACTTTTCTCTTTTTTTTTTTTATCAGCCGACGGTATCACAAAATTGCGTTCTACCTGAAGAAATCACAGACAATGCAACAGTAGATGTAAAGTTCAAAATATATGACAGTGTCAGGTCATTCATAAAATTATTATTATATTATTGTATTTTTGAGGTTTTCACTGATTAGTTACATAACGAATTTGCTGTTATTTTAGACGACAGATGCCCGACAATGAAGTTGGCAAAACGACAAAGTTTCCCGTGCCAAACGCCAACTCATAGACGCTGTCATCCGTTTTGTTTAATTATGTTAATTATTGAGTTTAGTTTAAAAAAGTTTTTTTTACTTTTGCCTTTGTGTATATCTGTGTATGAACAGAAGTAGAAGTGTTGGCAAACCATTTCTTTTTGCTACGATTTACAACGACAAGTAGTGGTTAAATCAGCATATTTTCTATAGCAAAAACGTGTTAATAATTTAATGAACTAATGAAGTAATTGTTTCCAATATACCCAAGAAATTATTTCAATCACAATTTGTATTTTCAGCTGCATATTTCGTCTAATTAACTGACAGTGTATATTTGCTAAGGATAATAAATAAGCGAAGCTAGTTGGGACTCTTTATGTGTATAGACTATAAACATGCAGTAAAAGTTAAGTAATCTAGTAACTAATCAGCAGTTGCCAACGTCGTCTATCTACGTTATAATCAATAGCTGTACAGAGGCAAGCGTTTCTGCTTTCATGTTTAGTTACTAAATGAACTATTTTGTTGTCCGAGGCATTTACTGCCACTATGATCAAAATGTTATATAATAGACCGCATAAAATCCGATTTACATGGCCGACTGCTGCTGTTTATGGCTATTGCATGCATTGCCTATATGCTTTCCATACGTGTATCCCTATTTAGTGTTTGCATAATTTCTGCTGTATTTTCGAAAGCGCTAAGTATGTAAATACAAAAATAATTATTAGTACTTTGCACACATATAATTAGTGATTGGTTCGTTGTCACGGGATCATCAGTATTTCGTTCGGTGTATTCAACGTAAAAGCCATCATCAGTTCCCAACGTGTTTCCACATCCAGCACTACCTTTGTTTACCTTCATGCCTGCCGCCATCTGCGTTGTTTCTGAGCTAACTATCAAAGACATCTTGCTTTTTCAGTTTGATCCTAAACACGCTTGCAAATCGATTACAGAAATGGAAAATCCTTCTATTCACTGTTGTCAACACTGTTCCCACTGGATCATTATATTAATAATATATCGAATTATCAATCTCAGCATAAATTGATCCACGAAAGTGGGTAAAAAATTTAGAGTATTCTACTCTTCGTTAAGAATCATTATTAACAAAGAAAAGATAAGGCACGGAGTTAACAAAAGGTGAGCCTTGTCTTTTGCATTGTAGAGAAGTGCGAGTTTTTCGCCCGGTAGAGCAAGTCGTCCATTTTCTGGTTGTTAAAAAAGGAAATTTTAATTTTTAGTTTTAGTTAGAGTCTCGGTTAATTAATGACGTATAAATTTATGATTATACCCTTCTTGACTGTGAATGGGAAAACTTGTAATCTATCTTCTGATCAAGTGAAATGTTTCTCATAAAAAAAAGAAACCGTTGGATTAATTAGAATCTCTTTGAGAACTCTGCAATATTCTGAAGGGGGGGACAGAACTCTCAATGACGCTTTAGGAAATGCTTTCACAATTTGTCAACATATGTAGCCCTCATATTTTATGTTGTCCTGATTGTTATTAGTTTTCTCAGTATTTCGTGTAACGTTGACTAATAGTTTGTCAATGCTCCGACATTGTTATTGTTATCCGTTGATATGTACTATTTTAATGACACACACCAAGTTGATGTTGTTGTCATTATTATAGTCGTTCCTCCATGTTGTATAAGTTATAATACGATTTTTTTTTTTAGAGGGTTTTGATCGGCTTTAATATTAACAAGTGATGCGCACAGGCAGAAAAAGTCGTGTAATTAATCGTTGTTATGTTTATCTTTCGACTGATTACATATTGGGTTAGCAAGAAAGCATAATTTTAGTAATCGATTATAAAAAACCCTGTGTTTATTGCGGACGACTCAACTATTAGTACGATTTTCTTATTTGATTATTCCCATCTACAAGGCAAGGATTGTCAATAGTAAAACAATTTGATTTTTCGTCATCTCGTATGTGATTGTTACGAGTTGAAGTATCTAACATAAATACCCTCAAAGCCTTAAATAGCCTCAAAGAAGAATCTTCTTGCCATTACTTTTGTGTGCTTGCTTCCTACGCCCCGCACAAATGAAGGCAATGAAAGTTTTAATTGTGGAATGGGAAAAAATTTTTTCCTTATCATGTTTATGCAGAGATTTATGCGCTTTTATTAAACAGTGTGAACGAACACTATAGGTGACTTGAAAAGTGGCTGTCTTCCCCATCTAGCGCTTTCTCTGATTCATATGTGTTTTGAAAACTCTTGTATGAAAAAATGCCTGTAATTATAGTGATCCGATGACATTCGGTTTAATTTGCTGCTCGCAATGACCAAAAATGTCTGCCAAGTAGTAGTCAAGAAGAAGTGGTAAAACACACTACTTAACAAGATAGGAGCTATATATATATATATAAATCAGCGATATTATGGCTTATTAGCGAGCCGAAATTACTTTTTTGCAGCCCTCAATAATATGATAAATGATTTCAATATAATCCTTCAGGTAATATTTGAGGTATGACGAGGAGTATGCGAAAGTTTTCATTAAAAATTTTGATTTACTTTTAATGAAACATTACAGCAATTTATTGAATGTTTATTGGAAATTTTTGCAAACAGTTTATTAAGCTACGATATCCAAAACTCCTATTTATCTTATAGCAAATTTTTAGTGCGATTGGTTTACTAAATTCATATCATGCTTTTACAGTTCCTGGTGATGTTCGCGATGACGCCGAAGTAATCGATGGACATCGACGTGATGAAGATTTTGATGATTTTAAAGGCGTTATAGATACGGGTGTCGGTTATACATTCCTTCGACCAAATCCGCAAGCAACAGCCTTTAATTTCGGTTTCTACGACTCATTCGAAGGTAAGCATTAAAGAATATTTTAATCGTAACTCATTTTCAATTAAGTTTGTGAAAGAAATTACATATGGAAATCATCATCAAAGTCATCGTTGCTAGCATCATCAGGCAGCTCACTAAAGATGCACACTTACTGATATGAACGTGTGTTTACACCTTTATAAAACTTTTCTTAATTATGTGAGTGTACCGAGCGCATGTAAATTTAACGAAATGACCATCACATGGCTTGTTTGCCTATTTGTCTGTTTGTCTCTCTGTCGACTGTGTTCGGGTGTACAATAAAATGCGAATTAATTAAAATTTTATGTTGCGTAAAATTATCACCTCACAACATGTGCTTGTTGTTGTTGTTGTTGTTGTTGGTATACGTTTATAAATGAGTGCAATACGTGTTATGAGCCATATACATATCTATGCGTGTGTTGTATATGTTTGCCTTGCATATGTGACATTATGTCGTTGACATGCCAACAAGTTGTCTGCGTTTTATCGTGATTTCATATATTATTCGTTTTAATAAGTTGATATTGTACGCAGATACTCTCGTTAGTGTAGAGTTGATTTTATTTACAATAACTATTATGGGAAATCAATTATTACGATAGATAGATTCACCAGAAAAATTCTTATATTAAATCTCTACTTTGCTGTTCTTATTATAAATGTATAAAAAAAGTGCATAAATATAATATATGTCGAAGCAACACAAGAGAGTAAATTAATGATGTTATTAAAAATATCAAACAAAAAAAAAAAAAAAAAAGAGGGGTTTAATTATAAATGACTGCTATGTTAACATAACGAATACATTTTCCACAGACCATCATATAGGCGATAATAAATAAAAGCTTTCCATATACTAAAAAAAAAAAAAAAAAGAGATTATTTTCTTTAATTAGTGAAGATGTATTCTACCTTTTGTTGCCGGTCATTCCTCTTCATCTGGACATTAAATCGAGTTAAAAAGATTAAAGGTCTTTAAATAAATTGTTTGCTTAACAATGGAGAAAAAGAGAATTTTTGTGTTCACCAAATTCCAAGAATACCAAAGAAGTTTTTAAATTCTTTGCAAATTAAAACAACAAAGAAGTGAGACCATTGTAGTAGGGCCAAGCCGATTACTGAATACCACACACCACTTTGCCCAGGGAAATTTTTCATTTTCTTTCTTGTGAAAGTACCGACAACGATGCCTCCTGTTCATGCAAACCCTACGGTCAGAAGACGGCTCAAATTGTTAACTCTGATGGGCTTTAAATATGATTTTCTTGCCAAAGATCTTTCGCTTCGTCTTCTTTACTCTTTCGTCGTAAAGCACTCAAAACACGATTGTTGTCATACAAAGGGTTACTTTCAGCGAGAACCCTTAGGGCATTTTGTCTACAAAGCAAACGATGTGTGGTTGTAGGATGTCTAAAAGTGGGTTCTGCGCATTGACGTGTGCAGGGATTATTTTTTCGAGTCTCAGGCTGGCATTGTTTTGACCGGCATCAAGTCTTATTGACACCAGCAGGTCTCATAGACTTTTCAATCACTGAGGAGAAAGTGTAATATATTTTATAACCGCTAAAGAGAAGCAAAGAGCAGTGTTTGACACCAGTCCTTATGACCTAAATAGATATTATTATACAACTGATATTTTCAAAATTGATTGGCAACAAGATTTCTTTTCTTGTTCTTTTTCAATGGCATAAAAAAAAGGAAATTTAATTAAATTAAGGCTAAAAAACCATGGTAAAAGCTTAAGTGGTAGAGACATAAGGTAATAAATCTTGCGTAGTGCTTTGCATAAGCATTGTTCTTCTGTTCATCTCTTGTACATATCTCAAGTTAAGTATTGTAATATGAAAGTTTGCAAACAAGTTTTTCAAAGAAATTGAGTTTTCATACAGTTATTAAATTAAACGCTTAACATCATAGATATTGTGTTCCCTAAAGAGCAATTAGAGAAATGCATCAAGCATAGGAAATCTTACATGCTGCAGTAACCTATTGTTATGTATGTAAAAAGTTTAAAAATTCATATAAGGGGATAAATAAAAATTGCTAACGATAAGGAATTTTTATTAAAAAGTTTCTCAAAAATTTCCGATAATTTGCAATATTTTTAAAAACATTTCCCTTAACCGAACAATGTTTCAATTTGAAATTATTTTGAAATATCTTTCATTCTACCATTTCCTAGACATGCCTGCGTAAGTAAGGCAACAAACATATGTTACTCAATTTCGCATATTAAGTGTGTGTTTTACCTTGAAATTGTTCGCAATAAGGTTTCATTTCGTTTTTGTTTTTTCCTTCCTTTTTAAACAACAATTTCTTTCTTTTTTTACATGCATGTTAAGAAAGGTTTTCCGTTTTTCTTTGCTTTTTTATATTTCACCTTTGAACGAAACCATGAAATCGTCTATGTATGCCAATGTGGTATTTATTGCATACCAAGTAAAGTAATTGAGGCTAATGTTAACATAGTCTTATTTAAATGAGAATTCGTTTTAGTTTTCCAAACGAACGAACGCTTTATTCTATTCACACTACTCTCATTATATGCGTTTTCTATCACACCTTTTTTCTATTTCTAAACCAATTGTTTAATTAAGCGTTATATTTTTAAACTTAATTGCTAAGCCTACTTACGAAATGAATAATTACTGCAATTCCGCACCATTATGCTAATTGAAAATGAAAGCAATAAACATTGGAAGGGGGAAGAAGAGTATTTGCAGAATTTTACGAAAACAAGTATTTTCGTATTTTTTCTTTCTAAGCCGCAAAGAAAGAATAGTAGAGAATTGTTATATAAATAATTGTTATATAATTGTTATACAACCGATTTTTATCGCGATGAAGTGGCTAAAGATCGCACAAAATTTTTTGATTTTACACTAATCGATTTCACGGTGCTGCTTTCTTTTTCTCTTCTTAAAAAGGACTTAAAAAATATTGATATAAAATATTTTATCTCGATTGTGCTTCAGTTTTTCTCGTTTCGAAAAGTCCCTTCCGAAGACTTCGGCCAAAGAAATTCCACAATGGTTACTTATGTAGTAATATTATTATACCCTTGCATCACTTACGCAATAAAAGGAGGATCTATCACAAGTTTTTCTGGGTGCTGTATACATCTGCACAAATATGTAGTATAAGAAATCACAGTTGAGCGAAATTGACTCGATCCAGCAACCTAGTATTAAGATTTGCATTCTCTTTCATTCCGTTCATAGAAATCGAAAGAGTGCATACATTACCTCATCTAACTTATACATGTGCTCTTAAACGCTATTAGATTCTGATCCAATTTAGCATCGACCGCTTGTCTGCCACTCATCGACTGTGAGAAACCACTTTACAAATCAATTTCTAACCGCCCGATCAGTTGTCAGCTCTTCACCGTCAGATTTTGCCTTAGCGCTTTTGTTTTAGTAAATTCCCAAAAGCATTACATTACATGTCGAATATATACTTCTTGACTCTCCGTTTCAGAGGTTTAGAAAAACAGTTGAATGTAACGTACACCGCATGAAACAGTTGACAGAAGACTAACTGAATTCTCATCTATATAATGAGAAGACATACTCGCTTGTTTCGGCGACTTATAGTGGGTTGATACAAACAATGGATTTCTAGCTATCTGCATCGGAAATTACTTATGACTCGATCTAATATTTTCTTAATTCTTAAATGCCGTGTGGTATTAAGATAGAATATATTTATTTTGTTTTATTTTTTCAGATATTTTACGTCGTATTAAAGATGCTTTGACGAGTCCTGTCGTTTATTCAACCCATGATGAGGATTCCGATGAAATTGTCTATCATATGAAAAGGGATCCAGTCAAAATGAATAAGACCTCAACCGTTAAGGTATATATTACGTAAATATTTATTAATAATCAGCAATTCTTTTATAATTGTTGTTGTAATTGTTGCAAAAATGTTGAGACTTTTAAACTTTATTTATTGATATTGCAGGTAATTGATGGCCATAAAGTCGAAATCAACGATACACAATACAATAACAAAAATAGTCATTTCCGTGTTCGCGTAATAAACATACGACCACTTGATGATGACGTGAAAGTTGGCGAAGCTAATGATACTGTTAAGACTGTAACATCGGGACCAGATACCATAAAGAATCGTTCCAATGTTACTACGCCCGGCTCTGAAGAAGAATCAGATGAACGTCGCGAGCCTTTAGAGAAGAAACCACAAGATAATGAAATACGCGGTAACATCGATAGCAACGAGGTAAAATTGTAAATATATATATATATATATACATATATATATATACAAAGAGCGAAAAAATTTTTTTTTAACGAAAACAAGAAGAATAAAGAAAAATTAGCTGTAGAAGATTGAGAGAGCCGAATTATAATAAAATAATACATATAACCAAACTAAATTTTCTAACCCTTTGGAATGGAATGGCAACTGTTTTTGAATTTTTGTAACTTTATGTTTTAGAGAAAATTGTAAACTCTTTCCGTTTCTTAATTTTACTTATTTTGTATGCATTATGCATATAATATAAATATAAATATATTACTTTTATAATAATACCCATTTATATATACATACATTTATATAACTATATATATATATACATTACGTATTCACATTTATATGAATTGCTGCTATTAATCAAATGAAATCCTTAAATCTTTAAAATGTACAGATATATGGGCATTGCATTGCGTTAGCTTTTGATTGGCTTTTACACACACACACACACAACTATGTTTTTTTTCTTATGATTGTTCTATATTTTTCTATAATTCATATTGAAATAATTTAACAAATACTTGTTTTATATATATATATAACTATAGCAAAAGGATTTTTCCTGTGCGATTGATTGATTGAATAGCTTTTTAATTATCTTTCAAAAAATGTTTTAATTAATAAAAATTTATTATCTGTACTAACTGTAATCCAATTTATTTTTCAAAAGAAACCTTTTTTTTTATATTAATTTATTATCTTTTCTCTTATTTCATTACTCACATATATTCTACTCAAAGCAAAGAGAGATAAATTTAAATAAAGAATATGTATAATAGATAAAACTTTGTAAATATGCTTCAAATAATTAATTAAATTTAATAACTAATAATGTATTCAGAATCTAACGAGAAGGTCTCTCATCAAGAGTGAACAGTTCTTTTATGAAATCGGTCTATACAGTAGTTTACTTTCCTCAATGCCTTAATATTTGCTTTGCTTCCTTGATTACCTAGCATCTAGATGATGATAACATATACGGCTCTTACTAACGTTTGTAAAATGATGCAAAAAATAAAAAAAAAATAATAAAATAATTTTCATATAAGTTTGGCAAAAATTTTTTGTTTTCGCTCTTCGCCATTATATCAATAAATAGAACAAGTGGAGAAACTGCAGTTGTACTAAGCCGAGCACTTCACTCTCAGCAACAGAGTCTAATAATAAAAGTAAAATCAGAACTACAGTAAGCCTTTAGTTTTGATATATGAATTTGGATTTAGATCGTAAAGCATGGAAAAGGAATTGCGTCGCCTTCTGTTCTTTTTCCTTTTTCTGATATGGCAAATCACTCAGAAGGCTGTCCACTCTATTCGTAAGACACGGCAGAAAGAAGTAAGGTGATGGTGGCCATAGGCGAGAATGGGTGTGTGCTCAACCGAGAAGTTTTATGCCTTTATCGACTGAGAACTTACTACAAGCTACGACCACAAAAAATTCTACTGCACTTGAGATATGAACCCGCAAGCACTAACTTGGAATTCACAGTTCATGAATTTAATGAGTGACACAGTCTTCTACGGCGATCACGATCAGGGAATCTAAGCGGCTTAAATGTAAGCCTAACCATCCAGCCTTAAAATAATTGGAAGAAAAAAACTGGTGTAGCTGGTGGTATGGGCCATTTTTCATATAGTCTCCTGTACATCAGCAGCATTTACGACCATATCGCTAACTCGAAAATTTAATTTAATAATAATTTAATTCTGCTCGTATTCTATTCGAGGTATATCAAATCCTTGTAGATCTAAAGGGCATACCGCATGTCAATTAATATTTATTGTGAGGGCGTAAGAGATGCTTATTATAGATAGTATTGGCGACAGCCTTGTTGAAACTGATGGAAAGAATGTAACCTACAGCCACTAGAACCATTTTATCTACAGTCCAGTCTACGACTATGTTGATGACTTGACGTTTTGTATTTGTTTTGATTGTTTACTTTTTATCCGCCTTAAAGCAACGAAGTCTAGAGGAGAGAATAATGTAATCTTATTTATGATATGAGAAATGAAATTTTTAGTGTTCGTTTTAAATCCTGCGGCGACTGTATGACTGTATATAAAATGTCTTCACTATTGGCGTATCGCGAACTTTTATATGTCTTTTGAAAATTTCGTCCACTTACTCTATTCAATCCTTTCAATAATACCCAGTGAGTGCATGATTAAGTTTCGAATAGCACCCTCTTACTTGGAGCGTACGTCCCTACGTTCCTTGGTCGGTCTCAAAAACGCCCATCAATTTAATGGTATTCCTAAAGCGTATGTCAGGAGACTGCAAACCGTACGACAAAGTATAGTTACATATTTTTAGAGATGAGCATTGGTATGAGTATGTAATAATAAAGTTATGTAAAATATTGGAAAAATTGCTTTGTATATTGAACTCTTTGGGAATATTTTGAATTAGTGCAGCGCAGCTTGAACTTTCAATATTTTAGTTTTAAGTTTTAAGAGCAATAAACTTATCGTTTTTTTTTTTTTTTTGATAAAAAGTTGTTTGGCAAGTGAATAGAAAATTAGATTAACATGAACACTATTCTTGAGTTTCCATAACAAGGCACAAAGACCTTTAATAATGATTTCAAGCATATGATTCAAGTTCCGGAAAGCATCTCAGTTTAAGAGGAGTAATCATTATAAACATGCTTGCCCTTCCGATGTTGTTTTATATAACGGTTCTAGAACTGTACACACAACTTATGTGTTCTCGTTTAGAGTAAACCTTTGGTGTTCAACATAGTCGCATGAAGTGTAAGACTCTGGTCAATAGAAATTTTCATACGCGTTTTTTTATTTCATTCTCCCTCTCTCTAGTGAAAATAAACTCGGTATTCTGCAGTAAAAGCGCAAGGAGTCGGCGGACCTCGAATATTTTTAAAGTATTTCCACTCCAAACGCACCATTGGGACGTTTACGTTTGGTGATTGAATTGCTCATGATGTTTTTTATTTATATTCCGATTATTATATTTCCAAGTACTAGCATTCGCATAGAATAATTATTGTTTGATTGTCTCACGTAGTCCCAAAATTTGATGCTCTGAAGCTTCCTTTTGGACATTGCAAGTTTTGTAAAAACGAATGCATCCCTCGTCGTTTGGTGATGGCTATAGAAATGTTAACAATCAATATAGAAACCCAAGCTTTGAAATAGCTTGCAAATATTTACTTTTGATTGGCGTTGTTATTAGCGATTGCCACGGTTTAAGTGGGAATATAGGAACTTTTACTTTCACTTATTGCAGTAATAAGTGCAGTATATCCAATAACAAGTAGTGACTGTCCATCATAGCTGTGAGTGTGTGTGCGTGTGTGCGCGAACTATAAAAGTTCCAACGTAAATAGAACGGCAATTGCTCCATAATACTACACTACTATAACGAGCTCGGCTAAGTACTACACGCTTTGAAACACATATAGGTATTATTTATTTAAGAAATACGTCTGTAAGTAAATGCGCGTTGGTTTTGATCATCCAAAACTTTTCTTTTCGCTGTGAGAAATTTTTCTTTCATGCTATATATATATATATATATGAATATATATATGAAATTTCATCTTGTCTTTTTCTTCGTGACATTGACATTAGTTTTGCTCTCATTCGTTCAATAAATAAAGTGAGTAATTATGTTATTCACACTAAGCTTTTAATATATTGAATGGTGCGAAAAATTACTTGCTCTCGACAACAGGTGGTATGAATGATGTTAATCTAGAGAGTACAAGTATACGTCTCTATATATAAACATTTTATTTATCTCAGTGTTGTTTTAATTTTTTCTTTGCATTGAAACAATAAACTCTATGCATATGCATGAGCACCGTGTCTCGTAATGGCTGCAATATAAAAACTTTACTTTGATTCTCTCCTGCTCTTTCTCTCTCTCTCTCTCTCTCTCTCTCTCTCTCTCTCTCTCTCTCTCT